CCAATGCTGAGACCCAGATGACAAATCATGAACTCGGAGACCCTTACCTGATCCTCATGCTGTTCACTGGACCTCCTACCACCAGCTCCCACCTCATTCTCATCCTCACTCTTTTGGCCAGTGGCTACCATTCTCCCACTTGACAGACGAGGAAACCAAGGCCTGAAGACAGGGCTGACTTCGTAGGCATGTGATCTGGACAGTGAGGGCCATGATTTGAAGCATTAAATACTCTGCCATTACCATCTTGAAATTCTTAACTTTTTCTTATTTTTTCATTCTTTTGTTGGAAATTCTTAATTTTTGAATGAGAGGCCCAGATTTTCATTTTGCCTTGAGTCCTGCAGATAAGTAGCTGGTCTAGCTGGTCTTGCTTGAAGGGAAATGAACAGAGGCATGCCCAGGCCTGGACTAAACTTCCTGCATCCCAGGCAGCCTCATTTGGGTGCCTGCACCCTGGCATGCCGAAAGCCAGAGTTTCCAGGCTGCGTTTGGCATCAGAGCCCTGGACCCTACCCAGGAAACCTGAGGAGCACAGTTCCTGGCTGGCAAGGGAAGGGAGGATGGTGCAGGCCAATGCAGCAGTTCAGGGAGCAAGGAAGACAAGGCTGCTAGAGCCGGCCCAGCCCTGTGTAACTGGAGCTGCCAGTGTGGGTCCCAATGCCATGGCCCAGCCATTAACTCTGGGAACTCAGCAGGGCCTTCCATCCCATCAGGCTACAGTTCCGGGGCCAGGAGAACCACTGCAGATTCACTGTGTGGCTTTCGACATTCACTTCCCCTTTCTGAACCTCAGTTTCTCTACATGTCACGTGAGAATAAAATAATGCCTATCTCACAGGGTTCTGGAGAAGATTAAGTGAGGTACCTTAAACTTAATGACTAGCACAAAGAAGGTGACCACTAAATAGAGTTCTTATTCATTCACTCATAAGAAATATGTTGTGACAAGTATTCAGGGACAGGGGTCAGGTGCGGTGGCTCACACCTGTAATCCCAGCACTTTGGGAGGCCAAGGCGGGCAGATTGCTTGAGGCCAGGAGTTCAAGACCAGCCTGGCCAACATGGTGAAACCCTGTCTCTACTGAAAATACAAAAATTAGCGGGGTGTGGTGGTGCACGCTTGTAATCCCAGCTACTTGGGAGGCTGAGGCAGGAGAATCACTTGAACCCAGGAGGCGGAGGTTGCAGTGAGCTGAGATCACGCCACTGCACTCCAGCATGGGTGACAGAGCGGGACTCCATCTCAAGAAAAAAAAAATTCAGAGGCAGTGCTAGGTGCTGGTCATTTAATTGTGAATAGAATGGACCCTGGCTCTGCTCTCAGAGAGATCCCTGTTAGAAGGAGAGACAGGCAGTGATAGCGATAACAGCATGGTAGGTGGTGGGGCACCTAGCCTGGGTCTTTGAGGAGCCATGGTGGGGAGCCAGGAGCAGGGGCACTGGGGTGCAGAGGGAGGGGTAAGCGGCAACAGGAGGCTGGTCAGAAGTGAGAGGTGAGGCAGAGAGACAGGGAGGCTGGAGTGGCAGGCTGGAGAGCTAGGCTTTATCCAGTGGATGGTGGAGCCACCAGAGAGTATAAGGCAGGATATGGCATCAAGGGGCAACAGAGACACCACTGTAGCCTGGGAAGGGGGGACTGGAGCTTGGGCCAGGGCAGAGGCTCCATCCCCAGCATGCATTTTCAGAGCAAGTTTTCCCAGGGGTGATGAGAGGAGGAGGATGAAAAGGCCTGAATTAGCCAAATACCTTTTCAGGGCTGGAGAGACAGGAAGCCTCCTAATGCATGGGAGAAGCCGAGGCTGGAACTTTGCCCTTCCCCTCCTGACCTGCTACTGCTAATGGAACCCTCCTCCTGCCCCCATGGCTCCATTACCCACCTCCAGGGGACCATTACTGTGCCTGGGCCTTTACCATTAGCTGGCCTTGGCTGCTTGGTTCCAGGGAGACTCCCTCGATGCTATTCCAGCCTTTCAGATGAGCCTGTTGTGTGATGCTGGCTGTGTCTCAATTTCCGGTTTGATCAATGGTTTTACATTATTTCAGCCACAAAATCTTCTATGTGTTTACAACAAATTCTTGCCAAGAAATATAAATAAATAAAAATACAAAAGCAAAGGTGCTCAAGTTGAAATGGGATGGGGGTTCCCCAGGCAGCCCCAGGTAAGCGGGACTCTGTTGGGAGATTCGAAGCCTGCAGGACTTGATGACCTCTAAAACCCAGCGATGGGAGTGCCTGGGGAGGACGTCAGGAGACGAGACTTCTAGCCCCTCATTACATGGGATACTAACCCCTTGAGCCCAGACAGCTTGGGATGATGAATAAAACCATGAAAAAAAGAATTTAAGGATAGGGTGCTGGGGCTCATGCCTATAATAATCCCAGCACTTTGGGAGGCCAAGGCAGGAGGATTGCTTGGACCCAGGAGTTTGAGACCAGCCTGGTCAACACAGGGAGACCCCATCTCTACAAAAAAAATTTAAAAATTAGTCTGGCATGGTGGCATGTGCCTGTAGTCTCAGCTACTTGGGAGGCTGAGGTAGGAGGATCCCTTGGGCCTGGGAAGTAGAGACTGTAGTGTGCTGTGATCATGCCACTGCACTCTGGCCTGGGTAACAGAGCAAGGCCCTTTCTCAAAAAACTTAAGACAGGCCAGCAAGTGAGATATTAGTATTACTCCCTTTTGCAAAAGAGGAAACTCAGGCTCAGAGATGAGTCATGGGACAGGTGAGGCAAGACTGGAATCTAAACCCAAGGCTATGGGGTTCAAGGACTAGACTCCTTCCTCTGCTCCTAAGGCCTCACTAAGCCACCTGTGTGGTAGCTGAAATGCCATATGTCTCAGGGATGCAGTTTCCTCAGCTGTAAAGTAAGGGAATTGGGCCAGAGCAGGGGCAGAGCCCTGGGCAGGCCACCAACCAGATTTGCCTGCTGAAGGCGAAGGTCGAGGCTGGGTCCTCAACTTTGCGTCAAAGAAACTCGTTTCTCCTGGGCTAAATGGCCATGACAGTATAAGGTTTGAAGTTTTGGAAGAGGGGAGAGAAAGAAGGGGTTGGCTGGAGTTCCAGTGCCGAAAGGGTCTTCCCCATACTGGAACCTGAAGGCCTAGGTCCTATAACTTGGGCTATGAGGATACTTAGGTCCCTGGAAGGTGCCTGGCCCAGCTTAGACAATAGGCAGAGGAGGCTGGACAAAGGGCCTTTGTGTCTCCCAAGCAAAGGTCCCAGCGGGACTGCAGAGGCGGCTCTGCCCCTCTGGGCTGCGTGTCCACTCTGTTCCTGCTCCCGGTGGGGCTGCAGCCAGCACCCTTCATGGCAGCCAGGCCCAGTCAGCTGATATGGATCCCAAGAGGGCCCAAGGCCCCAGGGGCTCTGGGCAAGTTCCTTGGCTACAGGAAGAGGCCTCCTCTGCACTTGTCCAGCCACCCGAGTGATTGACTCCACTTCACAGGAAAGGAGACCCTGAGAGAGAATGGAACTGGGTCAAGGTCTCCCAGAGTCGGTGCTGAAGCTGGGTAGGAACCTACATTCCTGATTCCTAGACCAGAAATGAGAGAGAGAGGGGGGCGCTCATTCGTTCATCTATTCACACCTTCAAGGATTGAGCACCTGGGACAGCAGCAGGAAGAAGGTAGACCTGGTTCCCGCCCTCGGGAGCTCACAGTCTCCGAAACGGGTCAGACACGCAGCCCGACCAGGGAAGGCCATTAGAGTGGGGTGGACGTGGACGGCAGAGAAGAGAGTTAAAGCAGCTCAAGATAACGGGCCAGAGAGAGTGGGGAGTTCAGGGAGCTGCTGGTAAGATTAAGGCAGGGAAAGTAGGGAGCACGGAAGAGGTGGGATCCTGAGTACCCTGCTTTCCTTCCCAGGGTAATGAGGAGAGGCATCCCCTACCCCCACTTTCAAGCAAGGGAGGTGCGTCCTCGTCCTGGGGTTTCGAGCAGGTCTCTCCGAGCAGGTCCCTTCCTGGCCAGCCGGGCTGGGGCGGGGCGGAACAGGGGTAGGGTGGCGCGGCGGCTGGGCGCAAAGGTCCAGCAGCGGGCCACGCAGGCGCCGGGCTGACCTGGCAAAACTTTGGCGTCTCTGAAAACCTCTGCTCACCCGCTCCCTTCTAGCGTGAGGGAGCCGGGCGGCCTCCTTCAGGCCCGGCAGTGGGACCGTCGCCGCCCGCCCCTCCCATTGCAGCACCGGTACAGACGCGCTGACCCCGCGGCCGTGTCGCTGGGCGGCGTCCCGGAGCGGGTGGCGAGGTATCTAACCGGGCGGGTTGAGGGCGGTGCCAGGGTTGGTCAAAGGTCCGCCCCGCCCCCTGCCTGGCCCGGCTTCGGGGGTGGGGAACAGCGCAGGGAGGTGGGTAGCTGGGCTCCCAGGCACGTGGGTCTCTGCGGCGGCGGCTGGACGCAGGCACTGGCACCCGGGAGCCGCGGCGACGGCACGCCGGGCGGAGAAGCGCAGCGCAGGGGCGAGAGGTGCGGTGCCTGGAGGGAACAGGGCGCTTGGAGAGGCCCAGGGAAGCGGCGGGCGCTGGCGCAGGTGCCGACTGGGCGCGGGGCAGGGGAGGGCGCTGTGGAGCGGCTGTCGCCCCGGGGCACCGTTGCGAGCCGGCGTGTAGCGCATAACTGGGCGTCTTGAACGCGCCTGTGGGTCCGTGGTTGAACTTTGTCTCCACGGGAGCGTCGGTCTCGGTGAGTGTAGACGGGCGCCCAGTTGCGAGGAGACTGTGCGCGAAGTCTGCGTGTTAGCGGGTGAGTGTGTGCGCCCCTCGGGGCGACTGGCCCAGCCTGCGGAACTTGTCTGTGTGTGCTCGGATGTGAGCGTCCCCGTGGCATGGGGCGGTGGGCGGTGCCCAGAGACATGAACCCCTGAAGATCCCCTGCCCCCTGTCCTGCCCCCAGGGTCACTCTGGGTGGCCGCCTACCGCTGGTAAGGTTGAGGGGGGCAGTTGCAGGGAGTGGGCGGGGGAGGAGGGAGTGGGGAGGAAGGACAGTAAAGCCTCTGTCTCAGGACTTTAAATCTGGCAAATGCCGTGGTAGGAAGGGTCAGTCAGGAGAAAGGCGATACCCCACCCCGCAACCCAAAGGCTGCCAGTGGCCCTCTTGGGGTCCTCCAGGAGTGCAGCCCAAGGGTCAGGGACTGCTGGAGACGAGCACTGCCAGCTCGGGATCCGTGGGGTCCATGGCTGCTGTTCCTTTCAGCATGGCATCGCCAGCTTCCCCGGGACCACAGCCTGATCTGCCTGGTTTGTTTTGGATCTAAGCTGAAATAATGATGAGTTTTGAGGATCTGGATGAGGACCCAGGCAAGTTTATTACCTGCTGGTGGAAGTGGGAGGAAGAAGATTCTCTGCGCAGACAGGTCCACAAGAGAGCTCTGGAGACTCAGAGATCTATGTTCCAATCCTGTCTTGGCCACTGTGTGGTCTGAGCAAGCCGTCCTTTCTCTGAGCCTCGGTGGCCTCATCTGTAAGAAGGGACTAATGATACGGGATTTGAGGGCTGTTGAGGAGCTGATGAGTGTGTCATGTTCAGTACCAGTGTCCCCCCATGGGCAGGCTCACAGCTTAGGGATGGGAAGTCAGTCCCTGGAGGGAGCCTGCCAAAACCAGAATCCCACATGTGCCCCTCCCTAGGGCACAAGCCTTCCACAGGACCAAGCCTGAGCCGTGTAGCCTGGGACTTAAGGTCTCTGATAACTGGGGCCTGCCGGCCTTTCCAGCCACCTCTCGCGCCTGATTCTTCACCATGCAGCAGCTGTCTGGAGTCTCTCATTTCTTGCCTCGGTCCTGTTGCATATTCTACACTCCCTGCCTGATAAGCCTCCTACTCGCACCTTCCTCAACTGGAGAACTACCCAGACTTGGGACCCAGCTCAGATGGCCCCTCCTCTGGAAAGCTTTCCTTGATCCCCACAGCAGGGTTGGAGCCTCTTCTAGGCCCCTACAGTCCTGGTGCTGACAGCCCTGGTCCCACCTGGACCGTCATGATCTATGTCTGTCTCCTCCTTTCCTCTTCTCAGGTCTAGGGGGTCCTGGAGGGCAGAAACTGGGTCTGACTCATTTCTGTGTTGCCAGCATCCCGCACAGGGCTGAGCTGAACTGAGAGAGCAGCAGCAGCCCCCATCCCCTGTTTCTGGCCCCAGCTTCTCCAGTAAAGGCCTGGCTGCAGGTGAGCTCCATGTCACTCCAAAGAAGGGCAAACCAGAATATGGTTATCAAAGTGGGTGGCACAGTTTGCCAGAACAGTGTGATCTGGGACACTGCAGGACCTAGAGTGCCCAGGCTAAAGACCTGGATTTTATCCTGAAGGCAATAAGGAGCCATGGAAATTTATGAACAGAGGAGTTTCATGGTCAGGTGGCATTTCAGAAAGAGCTCTCTGGCTGCAGGATGGAGAATGGATCAAGTAGTGCCAAGTGCAGGAAGGTCAGGGCATTTGTGATGTCAACACTAGAACTGTCCCAGGAGTTGTTTAAACCCTAATTGAGTCCTTGCCCGTTGGCCAGACACTTTTCCCTGAGCCTTCAGATGCTCCTGCTGAGGAATTTGGGGACCTGCAATTGATCTCATTCCAGCTCTGCTCCCAGCTTGTTGGATGACCAGTTCCTGCCCTGCTAGGCTCTAAAAGGAGGCCAGAACAAGTAAGATCCTGCATGGGAGAGTATGTGTGTGGGGAGGCCCTGGCACAAAAGGTTTGTCACTCTTTCTCCTTTTCTCCCTGTCTTGGGCTTTCTTGGAGTCTGGTCAGAGGGGTTAGGTATCCCAGTGGGTAACCCTCAGAAATGACTACCAAACTTGGGCTGTGTAGTGAGGCTGTGGCTCCTCTGTTTGTCTCCCTCCTGCCCTGGATGCATAAGGCTCTAAGAAGGTGTGAGGGTGTCACCAGGGCCTCATGAGTGACCCCATGAGAGCTTTGACTTAATGGCTATAGTCTTTAGAGAGGCCATTGTCCCTCTCTAGGTGTCAGTTCTGCCATCTGTAAATTGAGAATGGTGATCCTTGCTTTTTGAGGGCAAAGTTGCTACGAGGATTAAGATAGTGACCAGGGAAGAGCTTTATAAGCCTTAAACTGCAGTGCTTGGAGAAGGAATGTGATACTCATAGACTTAAATTCATTTTGAAGACTGTAAGAGAACATGGGTGCAATAGCAAGGGGTTGTGCTGGTTATTGAAATTTAATTACTGAATGCCTTCCTCCCCTACCCGCTCTGCAGAGATGGCTTCACTAGTAATGATTTACAATCCATTTTGTCTTCCTATAGACCTGTGAGGCAGGAATTGAATCTCCATTTTGCAGATCAGGAAATAGAGGCATGGATTGTATCTTGCCCAGGGTCACCAAGCTGAGGTGAAACCTGGGGCTCCAGTCCATCTGCCAGCTTAGCCCTCCCCATCTGAGACAGAGCCCTGTGGGGTCGGGCCTGGTCCTCTGGCTTCCAGGCTGAGAGGAGTTTGAATTCTGCCCTGGGAACCTGTGTTTGGGGCTTTCTTGTGGCCAGATTACCCAACTGCTGATAAGATAACGCCTGCCCAGACCTGCCCACAGGACCAGAGATGCCTTGTCGATCTGGTGAGGGCAGTGGGGGTTGCCCCTCAAGCCTTCTGCCCAAACTGCCTCTCCCCAGACTGCTTTGTGTAGGCCTGCTTGGTATACCCTCTGGGCCACACCTTCCTCTTGGTTGCCCTTGGGTCCTCGGGCCTGTCCTGTCCTTATTACTGGGCCCTGATAGGAGTAGGCTGGCTGTGTGGGCCACTGTGACCTCTGTACTCATCCAGAGGCCAGTTGTAGGACTACGCTCAGCCATCCCTGCTTTCTCTCTCTGTCCCCATCACCCAGGTTGGGCTCAGGGCAGGTGCCAGTGGGTTTGTGGGAAATGAGTGGCAAGGTGGGAGTAGGCATGGAGTAGAAGGGGGGGCTTTTCTCCATGGAGCGCCACAGTTGGTTCTGGAGCAGAGGAGTTCCTCCATCCCCATCACCCCATCTCTTAGGCCTGAGTCGTTCCTGGTCCAAGATGAGTAGCAGGAGTTTCTGGTAGGAGGGTGAGCAGCCTGGGCCCCGAGGAACAACTCCTTGGCCCTCTGCCCTGGTACCTTGTCCCTCTCATTTTAGCTCCTGGGTGAGAGGCCTGGGTGCTGGAGTGAGGGAAAGGGACCTCCCTCAGGCTTCTGGGGCTCACATGGCCTTTCCCTCCCCAGGTCTGAGGAGAACCTCTGGGTGTGGACCTGGCTTCCTGGTGAATGCCCCAGCCCTGGCTTGTAGGAGGGGGACTCTTGCCATGGCTGGGCTGTCGCAGGAAATCTAGGGCCAAGGGACCTGCTCCTCTCACGGCGCCACCATATTGCCGTCTCCTCCTTGGTCTCCCTCCCTGCGGACTCCCTGTCCCATCTACCTTCCATGTGGCACCATTTTTGTAAAGGTCGACTCTGACCATGTCCTTCCCCTCTTAAGCCTTCCATGGCTCCTCACTGTCCTCAGAATAGAGGCCAAGCTCTTCGGCCTGGCATTTGAGCCTTTTCATGTGAATTCCTCAGGCCCCCACACATTCCATGCCACCTCACCCTCCACAGCAGCCATGTAAGACCTCCCGGCCTTTCCCAGCAGGTCACGCTTTCATCCACCAAGTCTTTGCTCATGCCTCTCCTGCCTTCAGAGCCCTCCTCCCTCTTTGCCCACCTGACAAACTCCTAATCATCTATCAGTTTCCAGCTCAGATGACCCCTCCTCTGCAGAAGCGCTCCCTGACCACCTCCCCCAGGCCAGGTAGGAGTTGCTGTGTGCTCCATAACCCCTGGGCTTGCCTTGTATGGTTTATTCACCCAAGTGGATTTGGTCCCTGTCTGTGTCTTTTTCCCCAGCCTGACTGGGTACTCCTCAAAGGTCCTGCAGAGTGCGATCTGAGTCTGAGTTCCCGAGGTCCCTCTGAGGCCGGGTGCACCAGAGCATTGGCAAGTGTTTGCTGGGACTTTGTGGTTCCTGGGAATGTGATTTAAGATTTCTTACTCTGAATCCAGACTCCTGTGGCTCTGAAAATCTCAAAAGCAAAGGCTATCAGGAGCAACGAGTGATAGAATTGAAGAAACACTGAGCCCACACCCGGAACCAGAGCCTCTTGGAATTAGACTGTGAGAACCAGGGAACTCAGAATCCTGGAGGCACCTGGAGGGGCCATCTCAGAATCACAGGCTCATGTGGTTCCTGGTCGATGCTTTCATCCCCCTTTCCACCTTAGATTCTCCATCCACCTTCTTTCCTCCCAAGCTGGACCCTTCCTGCTCCTCCTCAAATCTTATCACAGTTCCCCTTCCAGGGACCTTGCCTGACTGCTCTGACCATGACCTCTGTCCCTCTGCTGGGGACACCTGGGAGGGCCTACCTACCAAGCAGTGTCGTGGGCTCCTGAATTTCAGTGTCTCCCTGTTGTGACAGGCAGACACAGCCTCCACATTAGGACAGTTCATGATTTGCTAGTGCCATGGTGCACCCATCTGTCCCCTTGTCTTATTCCTCATGGGCTGTCCCATGCAGCAGTGATTCTCCCCATCTGACCACTGAAGAACCCGAGGCTCTGAGAGGGGGGCTGACTTCACCAAGACTGCACAACACAGGCGGCTCCAAGTTAGAGCCTGAACTCAGGGTTCTTGCCTCTTGAATCTGGAGGCATTTGGCTGTGATAGGTTGGGGTGGTGTCCAGGATGTTGTGGTTCTGAGCCTGTTTAATCTAGCAGCATGTCTCTATAGCCCTGTTCTGGGCTGTGCTGGGATCCAGGTGAGATGGGTGGTTTGGGGTCCTGCTCTGGGTTGGAGGTAAGGTGGTCAAACCCACACTGACAATAATTAGAACACCAGACCTTGAGTAAGTCCCTTCCTCTTTAGAGGTCTTGGCTTTCCGATCTGTAAGCCTGGCTGATCTGAGATTTACCCACTCAGATGCTGCTCTGAGCTCAGCCCTGGTGAGTGGCCTCCACAGCCAGGATCCTAGGGGGGTTCCCAAGAAGGAGAGAGCATCTGGAAGGGGGTAGAGAGCCCAAGGGCCGTGTGAAGGGGAGGTCTTACACCACAACGGCACCGGCTGATAGCATCTGAGGTTACCCCTTAGCCATTTCCTCAGACCAGCTTTGGTGCTCCCGGTGCAGAAGCAGGTCAGGCAAGGCAGGGGGCCTGCTGGCCTTCAGCCCCTTGAAGGACATTGAGGAGGGGCTAGGGTGACTTCTAAGCTCCTCAGCTTGTGCACTCCAGCCTTGCCCTCTCCACTCCCCTCAAGCCACCAAGATGAAGAGCAGTTCCTCAAACGTGTCATGTCATCTCTTGTTCATCCTCACTCTGCTCCTCCTGTCTCTCCAACCACCTGACTCCTCATCTTCCAAAATGCAAGTCAGGTGCCCTCTCCTCCAGGAAGCCTTCCCTCATCACCCTTCCAATCCTGTTGGGGGCCTCCTTGGCTTCCTCCAGGCCTGATCACCTTGTGTTATCATCGCCTATTTCTGAGTGTGCCTCCCCTGATCTTGACAGTGAATTCCTTGAGATCTGACCTACCTCAGAGTCCCCAGGTGCCCTGCCCAGCGATGGGCATAGATGTGACAACCTTTGTGAAGGGTGAGTGAGTGAAAGAGTATGGTGGCTATCTGGCTTCCGCTGGGGAATCCCTGGACTGCCTTCCCCCTGAGGACAGCCTTCAGTGTGGGAGACCTGATCTGTGGTTATTCTGGTTGTGACCTTCCTGTAGCCCATAATTCCTGCAAAGCTTCCTGCCCTTCTTGTCTTCCTGAGATACCCCCACCCTCCATGCCTTCTTTAACTGCTGAAATATTCTCTCTTACTATTTCATAAAATGAGCCTAAATCATCTAACCAGCTCAACAACCTTCTGAGGCAGGTACTGTTCTGATATTGAGAGGAAACTGAGTTCTGGGTTTTGGAGTTAAGAGACTTGTCTTACCACTGGGAAGAGCAGAACAGGGATTTCCCACCTGCCTAGTGCCCTCTCTTGCCCCCTTAATGAGGTTCTGGGACTAGGTCCTCTGTTTTCCCTCACAGCACCCCACCCCTGGTGGAGATAGGCAGCAGGGGTCTCCACAGAGGTGACAGGACATTCTCCTCTACCAGACTAGACAGGGTCTGCCACCAGCCAAGGAGGCACATTCCAGAGCCACTCTAGTGGAGGAGCTGGAATGTCATCCAACCACCCTGGAAATTCCACAGTGCCCTGGGAGCTACCCAGCTCCTCCTTCTGACTTTGGCCTCACTAGCCTAGAACCACAAAGAGAAAGACCCAGATTGGGTTAGGGGCAGGACCAGATCAGGGGGTTAGAGGTCTGCATGCTAGGCTTGGCTCTGCCCTTGGCTCACTGGTGACCTTGGGTGAGACCTTGAGCTACCCCTTTCTGGATTTAGTTTTTCTTTTTTTTCTTTTTTTAAAACTATACTTTAAGTTCTAGGGTACATGTGCACAACGTGCAGGTTTGTTACATATGTATACATGTGCCATGTTGGTGTGCTGCACCCATTAACTCGTCATTTACATTAGGTATATCTCCTAATGCTATCCCTCCCCCCTCCCCCCACCCTATGACAGGCCCCGGTGTGTAGTGTTCCCCACCCTCTGTCCAAGTGTTCTCATTGTTCAGTTCACACCTATAAGTGAGAAAATGTGGTGTTTGGTTTTCTGTCCTTTCTATAGTTTGCTCAGAATGATGTTTTCCAGCTTCATCCATGTCCCTACAAAGGACATGAACTCTTCCTTTTTTATGGTTGCATAATATTCCATGGTGTATATGTGCCACATTTTCTTAATCCAGTCTCTCATTGGTGGACATTTGGGTTGGGTCCAAGTCTTTGCTATTGTGAATAGTGCCACAATAAACATACGTGTGCATGTGTCTTTATAGCAGCATGATTTATAATCCTTTGGGTATATACCCAGTAATGGGATGGCTGGACCAAATGGTATTTCTAGTTCTAGATCCTTGAGGAATCGCCACACTGTCTTCCACAATGGTTGAACTAGTTTACAGTCCCACCAACAGTGTAAAAGTGTTCCTATTTCTCAACATCCTCTCCAGCACCTGTTGTTTCCCGACTTTTTAATGATTGCCATTCTAACTGGTGTGAGATGGTATCTCATTGTGGTTTTGATACGCATTTCTCTGATGGCCGGTAATGATGAGCATTTTTTCATATGTCTGCTGGCTGCATAAATGTCTTCTTTTGAGAAGTGTCTATTCATATCCTTTGCCCACTTTTTGATGGGGTTGTTTGATTTTTTTCTTGTAAATTTGTTTAAGTTCTTGGTAGATTCTAGATATTTGTCAGATGGGTAGATTGCAAAAATTGTCAGATTTTTGTCAGATGGGTAGATTGCAAAAATTTTCTCCCACTCTGTAGGTTGCCTATTCACTCTAATGGTAGGTTCTTTTGCTGTGCAGAAGCTCTTTAGTTTAATTAGATCCCATTTCCCAATTTTGGCTTCTGTTGACGTTGCATTTGGTGTTTTAGACATGAAGTCCTTGCCTATGCCTATGTCCTGAATGGTATTGCCTACGTTTTCTTCTAGGGATTTTATGGTTTTAGGTCTGACATTTAAGTCTTTAATCCATCTTGAATTAATTTTTGTATAAAGTGTAAGGAAGGGATCCAGTTTCAGCTTTCTACATATGGCTAGCCAGTTTTACCAGTCCCATTTATTAAATAGGGAGTCCTTTCTCCATTTCTTGTTTTTGTCAGGTTTGTCAAAGATCACATGGTTGTAGATGTGTGGTATTATTTCTGAGGGCTCTATTCTGTTCTATTGGTCTATATCTCTGTTTTGGTACCAGTACCATGCTGTTTTGATTACTGCAGCCTTGTAGTATAGTTTGAAGTCAGGTAGTGTGATGCCTCCACCTTTGTTCTTTTGGCTTAGGATTGTCTTGGCAATGCAGGCTCCTTTTTGGTTCCATATGAACTTTAAAGTAGTTTTTTCCACTTCTGTGAAGAAAGTCATTGGTGGCTTGATGGGGATGGCATTGAATCTATAAATTACCTTAGGCTCTATGTCTGGCCTTAGTTTTTCTACCTGTGAGATGGATGCAATAACCACCATGACCTCCTCACACAAAGGAAGTACTGAAAAGTACTGAAAAGAGTAAATCCTGGGCCCTGCCACTCCTCTGGCAGAGAACTGAGCAGACAGGCAGAGAGCTGTGGGGCCAAAAAGGGATGGTCAGGCAGCTTCCTGGGAGAGGGCCTGGGGCTTGCAGGGTGGGAGGTAGTGGTCAGGGGCACAGCCTCTGAAGTCGGACAACCCAGAGTGGCTATGCCGTTTGCTAGCTTTGTGAGCTGTGAGGTTATTTAGCCTCTCTGAGTCTCTCAGGATTCAACGAGAAGAGGTATATGAAGTCACCTAACACAGAACTTGGCACAGGGACAGCACTAAACTCTTGTGGTGATATAGGTGTTAGATGATAAGGGAGGCTGTCTCTGAGCAACAATATGACCATGGGACTGCTTTTGTTGTGCCTGAGACAGGAATATGAGGGCAAGGGCAGAGAGGATGGGTTTTCTGGAGCGATGGCAGGGACCAGATCAGCCAGGGCCTGAGTGCCAGGTTGAGGAGCTGGGACAGTCGCCTGAGGGCACTAGGGAGCCACGAACATGACTCAACAACATGACTCAACACAATCCAACTCAATTGGATTTGTGTTTTAGGAAACCACATGACCGCAGTGTGAAAGGTGGACAGACAGGGCAGGGGTGGAGGCACGGAGGCCAGTGAGGAGGCTGGTGCTGTGGACTGTGGAAAAACAGACCTCAGGCTGCAGTGCGGGGACCATGTGGTGCATGTCCGAGGAATTTCACTGGTTGAACTAACAGGACTTGGTGAGTGGTGGGCTTCTAGCAGGGTGGAGAAGAGGGAGGTTTTCCAGGCTGTATCAGAGGTTTGAAACCTGGAAAGATGGTGGGGGCCCTTCTCAGAAATGAGAACCACTTGGAGAAAGTGATATTCTCCACTTTAGCCTGTTGAGTCAAGGCATTTTCTAAGGAGGAGGAGACAGGGCGTGCACCTGGGTGCAGCAGGGTGAAAAGGTTGACGTTCCCTCACCTTGTCATAGTCTCTAGAGTAGATCAGCGGGGAGCTACCAGCCCACCGGCCTTGTCAGTCTGAGACCACCGGGCAAGGTGCACTCAGTAAGCAGTGGCCCAGAGGCACTTCCCATGAACACCCCTGCCCTATCCCCAAGGTATTCTTGCAGTGTCCCCATCTCCTCTCCCACATGCCCCCACCCTTGTACTGCACTTCCAGCTTGGGGACCTTGGCTCAGCTGTCACAGACCCACTCCTCCATCCTAGGGAAATGAAGATGGAAAAAGAAAAACTCAGGAGTTGCATGTTCTATTTCTCCTTTGAGGTATCTGAGGTGCTGGTGGAGGGTGAGACCTGCCCACACAGAGGGTCCCCTCCACCAGGCAACTGTCCCCTCCCCGAAACCCTGTGCTTGGTGTGCACAAGGGGCTCCAAGGTAAGATAAAAACCACAGCCAGAATTCGGGAGGGCTGGGCTCTAGTCTTGGTTCTGTCCCTGACTTACTGTGAGGCTTGGGCCTGTTTCCTCCTCTGTGAAAGAGGGTTTCACACAGGAGATTTCTTTTTTTTTTTTTTTTTTTTTTTTTTGAGACGGAGTCTCACGCTGTTGCCCAGGCTGGAGTGCAGTGGCGCGATCTCGGCTCACTGCAAGCTCCGCCTCCTGGGTTCACGCCATTCTCCTGCCTCAGCCTCCTGAGTAGCTAGGACTACAGGCGCCCGCCACCGCGCCCGGCTAATTTTTTGTATTTTTAGTAGAGACGGGGTTTCACTGTGGTCTTGATCTCCTGACCTTGTGATCCGCCCGCCTCGGCCTCCCAAAGTGCTGGGATTACAGGCTTGAGCCACCGTGCCCGGCAGGAGATTTCATACACACACACACACACACACACACACACTTTAAGTTCTGGGTTACGTGTTCAGAACGTGCAGTTTTGTTATATAGGTATACACATGCCCTAGTGGTTTGCTGTACCCATCAACCTGTCACCTACATTACGTATTTCTCCTAATGTTATCCCTCCCCTAGCCCTGCAACCCCAACAGGCCCCGGTGTGTGATGTTCCCCTTCCTGTGTCCATGTGTTCTCATTGTTCAACTCCCACTTATAGGTGAGAACATGCAGTGTTTAGTTTTCTGATCTTGTGATAGTTTGCTGAGAATTATGGTTTCCAGCTTCATCCATGTCCCTGCAAAGGACATGAACTCATCCTTTTTTATGGCTGCATAGTATTCCATGGTGTATATATGGCACAGGAGATTTCTAAATGCAGTTTTAGGCCCTGATGGTCTAGACTATGTGTGTGTGTGTGTGTGTGCATCCGTATGTGTCCACTGCATGTACACCTGAGTGTGACTCTGCATGCCTTTGTGTATCTATGTGTCTTGGTGTGTCTGTGCCAGTGTGTGTTCAGGTGTGGCATATGTGTGTTTATAACACCTATGGAGGAATGCTTAGAGGTAGGAGTGGGGAGGAAGGGGGTCTCTAGAAAGACGTAGCTTAGGCAAAAGTGTGTTGGCAGAAGGACAATACAATGCACCCTGGGCAAAGAGGGTATTGACTTTTCCTACTATGGGGCCAAAGCACAGAACCAGGACCGAGGGAAGGGACACTGGAGGCTTGGAGGCTTGGCTCAGCTGTACAGGACATGGGTGAGACTTTCCTCCAGGCAGGGCCACCACTCTATGAAAGGCAGCCTGGGGAAAGGGGCTGTGAATAACTCATTCCTGGAACACATGAGCTGCAGTTTGGGTGTACAGAGGGCACTCAGACCAGGACAAACACCAGGCCACCTCTCTGCCTCCTTCTGGTTAAGGTTACCACAGAGGAGATGGCCCTGGGGGGAATTGGCCTAGCTGGGTTTCCATGACCCTGAGACCATGCTTTCTCTACCTCCCTCTGTCTGCAGGAGCCCCTTGCGGCAACAGCACTGCCTGCCCAGAAAAATGCTGGAGGCTAGGTGTGGCCCCAGGCCTGGGGACCTGTTTTTCCTGTTTCCTGCAGAGTTCCCTGCAGCCCAGTCCAGGTGTGTGCATTCATGAATGAGGAACCCGAGCAGGCACTGAGCATCCTGACCTGGAGAGCGGGGGCTGGTCAGGTACGTGTGGCGGGGGGGGGGTGCGCTGGCTGGGAGGTGAGGGCGGGTGCGTGTGCTGTTGTGCCTGTGTCTGCCCTGAACTGGCTTAGATCAAGGGGATCCAAAGGCAGGTGCCCTGCTCTGCTCCCTCATCCCAGGCTGTGATGAATTCAGGCTTTGAAGTCAGATAGCTTTGGGTGTCAAGTCTAATTTTTCCAATGCCTGGCAGTGTAACCTTGTACAAATAGCTTAACCTCTATGGCAATATCTACCAAGGGGTGGGGATGGGGGATGACGATGCTGTGTGAAAGCTGCTCAGCCCAGGTCTGGCCCCTACAAAGCAGGGTGGGTGGAGAATCCTAATCAGACTGACCCAAGTTCTGAGCCAGATAAAAACCTGTGGCAGGTCTCAGACAGCCAACCCATCTCCAGTGCGCCCATGTCCAATCCCCTCCCGCTGGCACTTCCCTGACCTGTCCAGAGAAAGGCAGAGTCTCCTGGGCTCCTGTGGCAGTTGAAGGAGAGACAGTCTAGGGACATAAGCAGGTTCCAGGTGGGCCAGGACCCCTAGAGGGGCTGGGTTGTCCCCTGGTTACTTAGGGTCAGCAGCTAAGAAACCTTTAAGCATTCTTGTCCTTGAGAGGCCCTCAGAGAAGCAAGTAATTTGTAAGTAATTTGATCAAGGTTACAGCACTGGAGATGGGCTGCAAATCCTATTCAGGTACATCCCACAGTGGAAGTGGCTGAAGGAGGGAGGTAGTGAACTCCCTGTTTATGGGAGTGTGCAGAAGCTGCAGAGGGCTTGTGCCTGTGTGTGCCTCCTCTGGGCCCCCATAGCCTCTTGTGCTTGATTCATTCATTCATTCATTCATTCATTCTCTCGTTCCTGTAATCCTCCTGTGGTCGGGCCTCCTGCTGGATGATAGGGGCAGAGAAAAGCATCAGATGGACCCAGCCTTCAAAGAGCACCTGAAATGTGTTGGGGTACAGGATGGAAGGACAAATTACCAACTGGCTGAGAAACATCCTAAGGGGTGATGGAAGGGAGAGCTTCAGAGATTAGAAGATCCTTTGGGACGTACGAAGGAGTGCAGTGTGGGTGGGTTCAGGGAAGGCTTTCCAGTGAGAAAGAACAGAATGAACACAGGCAGGGGAGCCTGGAAGGGTCCTTACAAGGCTCACATCTCCCCTCCAGACTGGGAGTTCCTTGGGGCAGGGCCAGCCAGACTGGGGCGCAACAGGGCTAGTGCGCATTGGATAGTCAGGTGGAGCCTGGGGCTCCCAGGGGCATCAGCCCCAGGGGCATCAGGATCAGGAGAGGCAGAAGGGAGACTTAAGGGAGGGGGCTGGGAAGTTGGCTGTCCCTCTAAGGCAGGGCTAGGAAAGATGTACTCACAGGTTGGTGAGCCAGCCTGTAGAACGAGAGGGTGGGCGGGGTGAGTCTGGCCCAGGGCCATGGTGATGGAGTCCCCAGCTGGCTTGGGAGGGTGGGGGCCAGGATGTCTTAAAACAGGTGGAAGGGGCAGCTCCCTTAGTTCAAGGGAGACAGGGAAGTCTCCACCCCTCATTTCAGTGTCAGAGATTCCACCGTTACGGATTAGCAGGAAACTCTTCATGCAGGGTGATGAGATGTTTATGTTGACTGTGGAGGGAGGTCAGGCCTCATCTCTGAGGCAGGAACAGAGCAATGGAGTGAAGGCGAGACTGGGCATGTGTGTCTAGATCATGGAGGAAGCCCCCTCCCTGTCCAAGTGGGTCAGAGGACCTCCCGGGGACATTTTGGGGCTGCAGTTGTCAAGGCTAGGGGATTTGACTAGTGTCTGATACTTGGGAAGGAAGGAAGGAAGGAAATGCTTGATGTCACCTGATGTTTTGTGGCAGAGCTAGACTCGAACCTCGGCTTACTGATACCCAGGTGGGGCTCTGTCCTGGGAGGGAATGTGGCTCCTCCATAGCTCCTCAGTCTCGCACAGGGGCCTCTCCTTGCTTGTCCTGCAGCTTCTGTGAGTCAGTGACTCTCAGCTGGCCTTCCAAAGCTCCAGACCTGATGGACCCAGGCTGTGCCCATCCCCACACTTGCCATGGTTGACACTGAATTCCTCTTCCCCACCATTCCTCCATCAGGGAACAGTCTCCAGAGCCTCCCTCCCAAACATCTCTCCCCTTGCAGGGCCCCTCCCCTCACAGGGCCCAAGGCCTTCCCCTTCTTGGGTCTCAGTGTCACTCCCCTGGCCCACCACACTCACCTCTACAGCCTCCAGTCAGGACCTCCAGTCCCACCTCCACTGTGGCCAAAGGTTTCTGGAAAAGGCCACCACTAGCTGAACCTTGGCACTCATTTCACCACCGTGTGCCTACTGTGTGCCAGGCTCTATTCCAGACATTTTACACAAATGACTCGACCTTCACAGCAGTCCTGTGGTGGAGATTCTAGTAACTGTCCCATTTTACAGCTGAGAAAGCAGAAGCAGTCTGGCTCCAGCGCCCAGGTTCTTAATCACTGGGTTCTCTGCACTGAGGGATAAAGAGCCGTGAGTTCAACAGGTGGAGATGAGGGCCACGAATGAATTCCAGGTAGAAGGAGCAGCAGCAACTAAGGCTGGGAGGGGAGAGTGTTAGGCACATCCAGGAAACTGCAGGTCACAGGGGTTGGGGCGGGTGAGGTTGGCAGAGGCTCAGTTATGAAAACCTCAGGTACCAGACTTGAGGTCTGGGCTTTCTCCTGAGAGAGGGTAGGAGCGGCAGGAGGATTCCAAACAGAGGAATGCTTTATTTGACAAAGGCCACTCTGGATTTTGGTGGGTGGGTGGGTGGGACTGGGGCTGGAGGAGGGAGGCCAGTGCAGTGGTTCCAGCAACAAGAGGTAGAGCCTGGAACTAAGCTGGCAGCAGGAACTGTCCTGACCCTGGGTAAGATGGGTCTCAGCCACTTGACCTGCCAGAGCCCCAGCCTCTACCTGTCTCTTCTTAACTTGGCACCACATAAGCTTCTCCTGGCCTCGTCACCCTGGTTTTGCCCTGGCTCCTGGGGAGCCATCCGTGTCCATGGCAGGGGGAGCAAGGGTGCAGGCCCACTTGCTTCTGAGTGCACATTTGCTGACAACAGGAGACAGAGAAGATCCGGGAGTCTTGGTGGAAGAAGGGAAACTGGCCGGGCGCTGTGGCCCACACCTGTAATCCCAGTACTTTGGGAGGCTGAGGTGGGTGGATCACTTGAGGTCAGGAGTTCGAGACCAGCCTGGGCAACATGGTGAAACCCCATCTCTACTAAAAAAATACAAAAACATTAGCTAGGCATGGTGGCACACACCTGTAATCCCAGCTACTTGGGAGGCTGAGACATGAGAATTGCTTGAACCCAGGAGACAGAGGTTGCAGGAAGCTGAGATCATGCCACTGCATTCCAGCCTGGGCAATGGAGTGAAAATCTGTCTCAAAAAGAAAAAAACAAAAGAAAGAAAAAAAGAAGGGAAATTGAAGGATCTCTACACCTCCAGCACCCCTAATCTCAATCTCCTGGGCCTTGAACTGCCTCTGGGAAGCCAGGGCTGGAAAAGCAGCTCAGGGTCTATGGGAGTGGATGTTGCAGGCCCTGCAGAGTCCCCCAGTCTCTCAGGACTCCAGGATCTAAAATGAAGGGAATTAGTACGGGCACGATGGCTCACACCTGTAATCCCAGCACTTTGAGAGACCAAGGCAGGAAGATCACTTGAGGTCAGGAGTTCGAGAGCAGCCTGGCCAACATGATAAAACCCCATCTCTACTAAAAATACAAAAATTAGCCAGGTGTGGTAGCATGTGCCTGTAACTCCAGCTACTCGGGAGGCTGAGACAGGAGAATCGCTTGAACCTGGGAGGCAGAGGTTGCAGTGAGCCGAGATCAGGCCATTGTACTCCAGCCTTGGCGAAAAAGGGGGACTCCATCTAAAAATTAAAAATTAAAAATAAATAAATAAAATAAAAATGAAGGGAATTATATGGCCCCAGATTCTCAGGATGAAGAGGACTCCACATCTCATCTGCCCTTTCCATCCTCCCAGACATACCCCGACACAGGCACAAGCCCTTCTGCATCCTCTGCTAGAGAGTCACTTGCATACTCCCATAAACAGGGAGTTCACTACCACCATCCCACAGCCACTTCCAGGGACTGGACCTGGACAGGAATTGCAACCCATCCCCAGTGGCATGACCTTGACCAAATAACTTACATGATCTGTGTCTTAGCTTTGTGATTGGAGAACTGGGGATGGTGACTTGGCCCCCAGAACACATCGTAAGGATAAAGTGAAGTAACTTTTTTTTTTTTCTGAGACAGAGTCTTGCTGTGTCGCCCAGGCTGGAGTACATGGGGTGATTCTGGCTCACTGCAACCTCCGCCTCCTGGGCCCAGGTGATCCACCCACCTCAGCCTCCCGAGTAGCTGGGACTACAGGCGCCTGCCACCACACCTGGCTAATTTTGTGTGTGTATATTTTTAGTAGAGACAGGGTTTCTCCATGGTGGCCAGGCTGGTCTTGAACTCCTGGCTTCAAGTGATCCGCCCGCCTCAGCCTCCCAAAGTGCTGGGATTACAGGTGTGAGCCACCACGCCTGGCCTAAGTGAATAACTTTTATAAAGCAGGCTTAGTAGTAGGGTTTGAAAAATGTTAGCTCCTCCTTCCCCTTCACACTGCTAGAAAGTGCTTCTTTGTGTTTTTCTCGAACTTGCCCACCCAGGACTCCTGCTATGATTTCCAACCTGCCTCCTGGGATGTTAGGCACGTCTTTGTCTTCCAGGCCGGGATGTCTGTCCCCTACCTCCCAGCTGCGAGAGAGCCCTTAACTGGTCACCTGGGTAGGGGTGAGGAGGAGAGGGAGGGGACAAGCTGCTCCCTAGGCACTCACTGTCTGTTGGATGGTCAGTCCCCATGGGTGTGTTACATGCTTAGTGGGGACAAGGTTGGGGGGGATACTGATGGTATGCAGAGAGAAACTGGATAGGCATAGAAGAAGCTGCATTTACCACACAGAAGAAGACCCATTGGCCCCCATCCCCATCTTCACCCCAGATTTCCCTAGACTCTTGGAGGGGGGTTACTTCAGGGGGATTCCCTGGTAGCCTCACAGGCTCAGGGGCAGTTGATAGATATAGAAATTGCCAGAATAGAGGAAGATGAAAAAGTGAAGGACTAACTGAAGAGGGAGATCTTTGGAAATACTTGCTCAAATACCAGAACACTAGGTGTGCACCCAGAGCCTGCCACAGAGTGGGAGAACGAGCTGGAGAGAACTCTGTAATGCCTGCAGGGGGCTGTTGGATGCCCACCGGCCAGAAATGCCTCTGCAGGCAGTAGGCATTGGGTGTGAAGCAGGGTCAGCCAGCCTCAAAGGCCCCTTCCCATGGACTCAAAATTCTCAAAATTACCCGCTCTGGCACCCCCAGATCCTCAGATTCTAGGGCTCAGAATCCTACATCTAAAACTCTGATCCTGAGGTTCTAGAGAGGGGTAAGAAAACTATCCACCCACCCCCCGCCCTCGCCCTCCCCTCTCCCAGAGATGGGATCTTGCTATATCATCCAGGCTGGAGTGCAGTGGTGTGGCCACATCTCACTGCAGCCTCAACCTCCTGGGCTCCAATGATCCTCCCACCTCAGCCTGCCAAGTAGCTGGGACTACAGGTGAGTGCCAGCACGCCTGGCTAATTTTTAACACAAATTTTGTAGAGATGGGGTCTCACTTTGTTGCCTAGGCTGGGCTTAAGCACCTGGTTTCTGCCTTGGCCTCCCGAGTAGCTAGGATTATAGGCATGAGCCACTGCACCCAGCTTGAGCTAACTTTTTTTGAAGGTCAGATAGTGAATATTTTAGACTTCACAGGCCATATGGTCTTTATCACAACTACTAAACTCTTTGTAAACAGATGGGTACAGTTGTGTTCCAATAAAGCTGAATTTACAAAAGCAGACTGGATCTGGCTTTTGTACTATAGTTTGTCTACCCCTGTTCTCAAGTTTGACGATTGTGTGATCCTGATATTCATGGATCTCATGCATTCTCAAGGTTCCAAAGCTTGGAGGTTCCAGGTCCAGATCCAAGTCAGATGGCAACGAAAGCCCTGGTCAGGTGGCTGTGTCAGGTCCCCTAGGGGCGCTCCAGCCACAACCCTGATGGCCTCACCCCTCCCTTCCCTGCAGGGCGATGGCGGCAGACCTGGGCCCCTGGAATGGCACCATCAATGGCACCTGGGATGGGGATGAGCTGGGCTACAGGTGCCGCTTCAACGAGGACTTCAAGTACGTGCTGCTGCCTGTGTCCTACGGCGTGGTGTGTGTGCTTGGGCTGTGTCTGAACGCCGTGGCGCTCTACATCTTCTTGTGCCGCCTCAAGACCTGGAATGCGTCCACCACATACATGTTCCACCTGGCTGTGTCTGATGCACTGTATGCGGCCTCCCTGCCGCTGCTGGTCTATTACTACGCCCGCGGCGACCACTGGCCCTTTAGCACCGTGCTCTGCAAGCTGGTGCGCTTCCTCTTCTACACCAATCTTTACTGCAGCATCCTCTTCCTCACCTGCATCAGCGTGCACCGGTGTCTGGGTGTCTTACGCCCTCTGCGCTCCCTGCGCTGGGGCCAGGCCCGCTACGCTCGCCGGGTGGCCGGGGCCGTGTGGGTGTTGGTGCTGGCCTGCCAGGCCCCTGTGCTCTACTTTGTCACCACCAGCGCACGTGGGGGCCGCGTGACCTGCCACGACACCTCGGCGCCCGATCTCTTCAGCCGCTTCGTGGCCTACAGCTCAGTCATGCTGGGCCTGCTCTTCGCGGTGCCCTTTGCCATCATCCTTGTCTGTTACATGCTCATGGCTCGGCGGCTGCTAAAGCCGGCCTACGGGACCTCGGGCGGCCTGCCTAGGGCCAAGCGCAAGTCCGTGCGCACCATCGCCATAGTGCTGGCTGTCTTCGCCCTCTGCTTCCTGCCCTTCCATGTCACCCGCACCCTCTACTACTCCTTCCGCTCGCTGGACCTCAGCTGCCACACCCTCAACGCCATCAACATGGCCTACAAGATCACCCGGCCGCTGGCCAGTGCTAACAGTTGCCTTGACCCGGTGCTCTACTTCCTCGCTGGGCAGAGGCTTGTACGCTTTGCCCGAGATGCCAAGCCACCCACTGACTCCAGCCCTGCCACCCCGGCTCGCCGCAGGCTGGGCCTGCGCAGATCCAACAGAACTGACATGCAGAGGATAGAAGATGTGTTGGGCAGCAGTGAGGACTCTAGGCGGACAGAGTCCACACCGGCTAGTAGCGAGAACACTAAAGACATTAGGCTGTAGGAGCAGAACACTTCAGCCTGCGCAGGTTTATATTGGGAAGCTGCAGGGACCAGGGCTTGTGCAGATTGTACGGTCTCCCCAGATATGGACCATCAGTGACTCATGCTGGATGACCAAGGAAGCCATGACCCCATGCTCCGTCATTTAACAGGGGCTCAGGATATTCGCTCTGTGGTCCAGAGTCAACTGTTCCCATAACCCCTAGTCACCATTTGTGTGTATGAATTGGGGGAATTAAGTTTCAAGAAAGGCGAGAGTTAAGGTCAATGACACCCCTGGCCTGACTCTCACGCAAGTAGCTGGCTGTACTGCCAAGGTACCTAGGTTGGAGTCTAGCCTAATCAAGTCAAATAGAGAAACAGGCCCAGAGAGGAAAGTGGCTTACCAAGGTCACATACCAGAGTCTGTAGCTGAGCTACCTGGGGTGGCGGCCAAGTCACAGGTTGGCCAGAAAACCCTGGTAAGTAATGAGGGCTGAGTTTGCACAGTGGTCTGGAATGGACTGGGTGCCACAGTGGACTCAGCTCTAAGGAGTACCCCCAGCCCAAGAGATGAACATCTGGGGACTAATGTCATAGACCCATCTGGAGGCTCCCATGGGCTAGGAGCCAGTGTGAGGCTGTAACTTATACTAAAGGTTGTGTTGGCTGCTGAGCTGTGCCTTATTGTGTGCTTGGGGGATGAGGATATGGTGGGGAAGCTTTCACCAGCCACACAAGGGTCCTTTCTCCAACCCATTCCCTTCTGCCACCTACCTTCTCACTAGCTGTCTCAGGAGTAGTCTCCTTTCAGGGATCCTCTCTCTAGACCCCAGATCCTCTCTCTAGACCCCACTTTAAAGCCAGTTGGCTTCTGTGCCTGACTCTGTGCTGAGCACAGAGGGAAGTCAGGTGCAGTCCCAGTCCTTGAGATTTCCCAGTTTAGGTGGTGGCCAGTCATGTGCTGGTAAATGTTAAACCATTTAACTGGAGCTCTGATTTAACTGGGAACCCCTTCTTTGTAGAACTGCCCAGTTTCATGATGCAAAAACTCTTATGGCCGAATTCAAACTATAAACATGATGTCCGCTTCCTTGTAAAATTCCTGAAAATTTAACAATTGGTTCTTGGAAGCAGGTACAAGTCACTCTAGCACACCACTGGATAATGCCAAGTGGATGGGGCTGTGAGCCAGGGGGTCAGGGAAGGGTTCCTGGAGTGGGAGACCCCTGAGTTGTAGCTTCTGAGAAAAGCAGCTCACCAGAAGAAAATCCACATGCAGGATGCATCCCAGGCAAAGACATGGGGCAAGAGGGCAGGGTGTGCAGGAGCCATAAGCAGGCTGGACAGCTGGCTCCAGGCTCAAGGCAGGGTTGGGGCTGGGTCACAAGGAGGCCAAGTTAGGGCTCCCTCCTTGCCCTGACCCTAAGGCTTCCTTTGCATTGTGGGTAAATATGAAAGAGACTCACTCCTCCTCCTGTCCATCCTCTGCCTTCTGGGAAAATCCCAGAATGGCAGGGTGTTGCTCAGGCTGGGTCAGGACTTAGCATGGGGGAGATGGGTTTCACCTATGATAGGTTCTGGGTCTAGCCAGGACCACTCGGGGCTGATGTGTGGAGCTCAGCTGGACAGGGCCCTGCCCTAGCCTTTGGAAGGGGACACGGCAAAGCTGACAGGCCTCATTCTTGATCTCAAGGACAGGGACTCACTCCTCTCCCTCTGGGAGAGCCCTCGCTCTGTGGGCCCACTCTGCCTGCCTCCTCTGACCTCTCCACCCTTCCCACTGTGCCTTGTGAAAGGCAGGGCATCCCCAAAGCTTGCTGTATTTGGAGTTTGACTCCACAGCGCCCTCATGTGACAGAGACCCATCACAGACCATGACCCAAATGATTGCACTGTGCCATGTGGGTGACCTGCCCAGAATAGTGTGAGCTATTCACCTCTCACATTCTAGGTTCTATACTTCTGTTAATGTAGCCGATGTCCTTCTGAGCTTTTTTTTTTTTTTCTTTTTGAGACAAAGTCTTGTTCTGTCACCCAGGCTGGAAGTGCAGTGGCGCAGTCTTGGCTCACTGCAACTCTGCCTCCCGGGTTCAAGCAATTCTCCTGCCTCAGCTTCCCAAGTAGCTGGGATTACAGGTATGCGCCACCACACCCGGCTAATTTTTGTATTTTTAATAGACACAGGGTTTCACCATGTTGGCCAGGCTGGCCTCAAACTCCTGACTTCAAGTGATCCACCTGCCTCAGCCTCCCAAAGTGCTGGGATTACAGGTATGAACCACCACACCCGGACCCTCTTGAGCTTTCTTAGTGATTGCCTGTTACAAACCACCCTTCAGCCTTTCCTGCAGGCCTGAGCCACTCCATAAGGACACAGGAGGGGCTTATTCACCATCTAATCCTGTGGCAGGCACAGGTCAGGGTGGATACTGGAGACCCTGGGCGAACCAGGGACAGGCCCAGAGCCCCACCTCTGGAACCCAGTTGAACTGCATGGCCCCTTGGTATGCACATCCTACCTTGCTGCTCAGGGCCCAGGCCACTCGCCTTGTGGGTGAGGTTCCTGCCCTGATGCCTCATGCTATTTTCAGCCCAAGTAAGACCATAATTTTCCACTCCTGGCCCCAGACCATTGTCCAGCAGTGACGTGGGGGAACCTGCCTGCCCTCAAAATATCTCCTATTACCCTCCAGTACTCCCTGCCCCCTTCACACCTCCCTAACCTGACATCACTTCCTGGGCTGTTGACTCATGAAGGCCACTGTGAAAGGGCACGTGCCCAGCTCTTCCTGCCCAGGGTGACTGGATGGAGCCATAGAGCTGAGGCCAGGGACAGGGCAGGGATGGGAGGAAGGGGAGGGTAGAGAGTTGAGTGTCAGGGAGTAAACATCTGCTGATGTGCCTGCAGCAGCTGTTCTCAATGAACTGCATGACATCAGGGCAGGGTCCCTGGCACACAGTGGTCTCTGCCCTGGGTGACAGGTGTTCCAGGGCCCGGGAGGGATGGGGGAACCCCAGGTGATATCCCCACTTTCACACCCTGAGGTTAGAAGAGGCCCTAAACAGCATATTATCCACACACGGTTACTCCAGGTCAAGCCACCAAAGCTACCTCTCTGCCACCCTTGTCATGGCAGATTTGGGCTGCTCTGTTTAGAATCAGGCACATGGGGGAGGGAAGCCGTGTATTGACCCATGTCCCACGCACCCTGCAGGACCCTCTCATCTCTGTTATATGGTGGATGCTTCACAGAAACCCTATGAAGTAGATGTTATGATCCCATTTAGCAGATGAGGAAACAGAAGGGTGTGAGAAGTGAGGACTTGCTCCAGGTTATCCAGGCCATCAGAGTGAGTCAGAGTGAGTCCAGGGTCACCTGATGGCCAGAATCATGCCCTTTCTAGTGCCCCACGATGCTCACAACCCCGCAGGGCAGAAGGTTCTCTAAGTGGCCCCTCGCATGATTCAAGATGACAGAGGCGGTGTAGCAAGGATGTGAGAACACAGATGCTCCACCCAGACCACCTCAGTGTCAATGTTGTCCCCACTTTCCTTGCTGGGGTCTCTTGGGCAAGTTACCTGATCTTGCAGTACCTCAGTTTTCCCATTTCTAAGTGAGATGCTACCTTCCACGCAGGGCACTGTGGGGCTTCCCTACGTTATTATGCACAAAGTCCTCCTCACAGTGCCCGGTGTGTGCTCAGCATTTATATGCCTGGCACCAGGCCAGGAGGCTACGGAGGCAAACCAGCTGGGCCCTGCCCTCATGGAGCTGACATCACTTAGTACGTAACCACATTGGGATACATGTTTTGAAGGAGAGGACAGTGTGCCTGGCCAGTGAGCAGTAGTGGGCCGTACGTCTCCAGGGACCCCCTCCGTGGGATGTGGGAGAAGGGAAGCAGGTCTGTCCTGGGGGAATGTGTGGGGCCACCTCTGCCCTGCCTGGCAGTGAGTGGATTTCAGGACCATGGGCCTGTGCTGTTTACAGAACCTTGTCCAGGTACCCAGCTGTGGGAGGGTAGCATGGAGAGGAGGAAGAAGGCCCCCCTAATAGCAAGCTTCAGGACCTTGCCACTTCAGGCTAGAGAGCTCCTACCCTCCCACGGCAGCAGGGTGGCCATTTCTCCCTGACTGGGGTGTGCACCATGGTGCTCTGCAGCCACCCCTCACTTCACTAAGAGTCCAGAGATCTAGGAGCAGAGGACTGGTCTGGAGCTGGGCAAGGGCAGGCAGCAAATGGTGAGTTTTTGCTGTGTGACCTGAGGCCATTTGCCTGCCTTCTTTGGACTGTGCTCTGAGGCCTGGAGACCTGTTCCCCTGTTCCAGTTTCCCCACCTCAGTGAAGGCACAACCAACAGCTACCTCCCAGGCATTTCCAAGACCCTCCAGGCCCCCGGTTCTGAGGACTAGGGTGGAGGCAGTGTTTCTCCCCAGCATCAAGTGACCAGAGAAGTGAAGTGACCCCGCTGCCGCCACACAGTGCCATGTCTGGAGCTCCTGCCTCCTGCAAGGTGGAGGGTGAGGCTTGGCCAGGAATGACCAGGGTGAGGGGTGTGCTTGTGGGGGTGAAAGGTTGGGGTGAGAACTGAGCCTGAGTTAAACTCATCCTCCTCTGCCCTAGTACACTGTGCAACTTCGGGGAGTCACTGCCCCTCTCTGGGCCTCACTTCCCCCATCTTCGATAGGACTTGGCTCTGCCTGGCCACTCCTCCTCCAATGGGGGAATTCCTGGGCTTGCCTCTGTGTTGGCTCCAGCTCAGGTGTCAGTCTCAGCCCTGTCCCAGCCAGAAACAATGGGCCAGACAGGGCCAGTCACCCCCTGTCCTTGGGGGCTCCACCCATAGCCCTGGACTATTTTCAGCCCTTGCAGATGGAGTCAGAAAAGGATTTTCCACTCCCAGCACAATGACTGCCCTGGACAATTGTCCAGCAGTGACGTGGGGGACCCGCCTGCCCCAAAATATCTCCTGCCCCTGATTTCCAAGCCTCTCTGCCCTGCTCCTCGCCTCCTGGCCTTGCTCCTTACCTCCCCACCCTGATGTCATTTCCTGGGGCTGTTAACTCCTGAAGGCCATTGTGAAACATCTCATGAGACTCCTGGGAGACACAACCAGTTGGAATCAGTTTTCCCTCCTGGCAGGGACCCTAGGGATTGTTTGGCTGCTTAGTGGGACTGGTGGCCTAGAGAGGGCTGTGCCTTACGCAGTCACACAGCAGTCAGTGTGCAGCGTAGACATAAGCCCAGGGCTCTTTGACTGCTCCCGCTGCCTCAGCCAAATTCATTAGCTCCAGTCTGTGCCTCCTGGAACTGAGAGCTCGCCACTGAGCTTCCTGGGATGGGCACCTGGGGCCCGAATAGTGTGGGTGGAGAGGTGCAGCTCAGGTTTTGACCTTAGAGTAAGCCCAGTACATGGGCCTGACCTTAAAACCTTTCTCCCCATTGAGTCCCATTTTTTTTTTTTTTTTTTTTTTTTTTTTTTTTTTTTTTTGCAACGGAGTCTCACGCTGTTGCCCAGGCTGGAGTGCAGTGGCGCGATCTCGGCTCACTGCAAGCTCCGCCTCCTGGGTTCACGCCATTCTCCTGCCTCAGCCTCCTGAGTAGCTGGGACTACAGGCGCCCGCCACCACGCCCGGCTAATTTTTTGTATTTTTAGTAGAGACGGGGTTTC